GTGCAAAAGAAGCTCTTAACTCACCCACAAGCAACCGGCCTTTGGCAAAAACGTTTTCCGAGTCGTTCATGTTTGAGATCGAAGAGGACAAAAAATCAGATGACGAATCATTCGGACAGATCAGCACGTTGACTATTGCAAGTCTCGACGATCTGGACGAAAATGTTCCAGATCAGGAAGACGCCACAATTGCCGCATTGGACAAAGTGGTGGCTGGCCAACGCGTGTGTTGTGCCATGTGCGCGCTGAACAAAAGTCGGTCGGACGAGCAAGTTTTCGCGTGTTGGCGAGCGGAATCCATGAGCAGTCGGTTTATGAGGCTGCGTGCAGGTGCTGGTGCCGAACGCACCCCCCTTGTGGCAAAACGGCAAATGCCAAGTGAAAACCACGTGAAAAATGTGTGGCAATCTCCAGCGCCTTCGCAACAAGTGACATCGCCACTGGAACCATTGGCAGTTCTTGGTGGACGGGAATCGCAAGACACGGCGGTGGTGGAAGCGCATCACGACGGCACGCCGACGGAGCCTTTTCCAGGGTCTCCATGTACCCCTCGAGTACCTGGAACTCCGAGAGACTCGGTTGCTTCGTCCTCGAGGGCATCGTCCGTGTGCCAGATCGACCTCGAGAGGCTGGACAATTGGCGGCTTTCAACCCCAGAGCAACGTCACGCTGCGTCCACCGCCAAGTCTTCGGGACTCGAGAGTATACGTCGGATGCCCCGTCGCTCGCTGCTGATGCTTAACTCGATCCGTAGCAAACTCACGACGCGAAAGCACTGCGTTATTTAAGTTTAAGTGTGACCAAAAGATAGGCACGCAATGCTAGTTAATATCTACCAAATTCGAATTGATCGTTTTTGGAATTTGGAACAAAACGGAGTTCTCGTCTCTGTCTCAGTAAGGAGTTTTCGGTATACAGCAACGTTTTTACAGCAAATTGAAACAAAACGCCGGCTTCTTCTTCTTGAAGGACGCTGCCGCACGAAATTTTATTCGGATTCCGTCATGGAGGTGCGAGGAGGTTGCCACTCCCATTCACGCCACTGACCGCGCAAGCAGCTTCAACTCAAAACTCCCGCTCTGATCTGCTGAATGTGCTCGCTGTCACTGCGTAAATTCAAAAATGGAAGCTTCTGCATCAACGGAGTGGACTCCTTATGAAGTATGTTCTTTGTTGTACAATTTTTTGGTCGTTTAGATAACTAACCGCGTTTTTTTTTTTAACACAAGGACGACTTGCTTCGTGGTGCTATAAGCCGCCACGGAGCACGTCGCTGGGATTCCATTGCTGCGATAATCCCGAATCGATCTGAAGCTGCGTGTTCGATGCGCTGGGACGAACTGCAGAACCGATTGACTCCGTTGACTCGACGGTCGTGGAGCGTTGAAGAAGACGAGCTGTTACGTTCCACAGTAGGTTGTCATGGTGCGGGTCAGTGGCCCATCGTGGCTTCTTATATATCTGGCCGGACTGCAAAGCAATGCCGCGATCGATGGTGTAACCAATTAGACCCTTCTATCAACCGTAGAGCGTGGACAGCTGAAGAAGACGCACTATTGGCGACTCAACAGCGTGAGTTGGGGAATGCGTGGTCGCGAATTGCAGCTAGTTTGCCTGGACGTACAGATAACGCAGTCAAGAATCGGTGGAACTCGGCTCAATTTCAAAATCGCAGGCTTGAGTTTGAGAACGAAGAGAATTGCCAAGAAAACGTAGCTTTGTCGCCCCCACAACAGGTGCTTGATGTGGATGGGGTGGTTTTATCGAGTGCAAATGCGTCAGTTCTACCCGTACTCGGTTCACCTGATGTGGAAATATCAAGATTCCGTTCACTTGAAGCTGAAAATGGAGAAATGTGGAGCGTTCTAGCAGATATCTTGCTCGATGACAATAACGCCAATATGTGTTAATTTGTACTTCGAGATTTTCACTAAATTAACCCATATTCGAATATAATACATGGGGACAAAGAGGCAACACACACTATAATAGAAGGGTGATAGACGAGTAGGACAATACTTAGTAGATGTTTTTCGTCTCGTTCGTAGATTTACCGTAGTTTGAGAAGCACAGCGTTGTGACCCTTTGAGTTGATACTTCGAATTGCTCAACGTTGACGAGTGCTGATGCTCGTCGACAGCGTCAGAACTTAGTTTCGAAAGCATAGCTGCGAGATTTCACAACGGTAGCAAAAAGATCCACGAATACTTCCAGCAATACGCCCCTTCTCCCTCACTTATGCTGCTACTTGGTTCTTGACATTAACTTGCTCAAGTGAGCCACCAACATCCTCGTTTGTGGTATCACTTGTCAATAGTCCACTTTAGCCGCAAATACCATATTTCTATCTCTACCCATTCGGAGATGTCACGAGCCTACTGTGTCTTTGCTAAAACCTAGACTATAATCGCTCGTCCGTCCCTCCCCCCGACTATCAGTATTGCCACAAGTTCGTTTAATTGAAATTACTGTTCTGTCCATCTAAATTACGGGAGAGCAAATCCAAAACACACAACTATGGACAGCGCTCTACTAAAAGCAAACTGCGGGTTGCGCCCCTAGACCCCCCTTTAGAAAAAGAATGTACTGGAAAGTGCACCGGGTCCGTTTGCTGGTGAGCTCATCTCTGGGCCCGCTTACGCAAATACCGAGAGGCCCTACTTCGCAGGCAACCAGCCCAGGTTTGCTACGGCCCCTGGCACCCAATCACTTGTCTTCTAATAATGTGTTATGTAACCACTAACCACTTTTGTGTGTTCCTAGAGGTTGTGTGTGTTTGAATATATTCCTCTAATTATGAGGATTTGGTTTTTTGTACACCACACCAATAAATTACATGATATTACATGTATTGTGTCTTTCAGTAATTCTCCCGCGAGTATTCTAGCTTATTTCTATTCCCTCTCAGCCTTAATTATGCCATTTGGTCAGCTAATTTCGTAGTAATTAACCATTTCAACCCCGAGTTATATTCTGTATGACACAGAATAGCGGTAATCTTTAAAAATTTATGGCTAAGTTTCAAAGGAGAATCTTCTGTTTGAAAGTGGTTTGAAAAAGCGCGCGAAAAGTACCAAAAACTGGACAACATCGCGAGAATATGATTGGGTAAATTTACCCTATGGTCCTTCAAAAGATGATATCCTTTTAAATGCGTTCATGGGCTTAGAGTCAGTTTCCAGCTACCCATTCCGCTCCCTGCTCACCCTCAGTGGAAATCGCGTACTAAAAGCTACCCAGCCACTTTCATGTCCGTACAAGTCCTTCGGGCAGAAAATCGGTCCCTATGATGCGAGCTACGCGCTGCAAAACGCACTATAGAGCGTCTGGAACAGGCAAATGAACGTAGGAACAGGGAGATTGCTCAACTTATTTCTGTGCACCACACAGAGAAAATGTTCAAGCTGAACAGTCTGAAAGCCCGCATGAACGAGCTCATGCGACTTCACCAACAGCTAATCAGAAGGATCGACGAGCAAGAGAACCGTGTGACGATGGCCCCCGCCGAGGAGAACAAAGTCCACGGTTTTGCGCTTACAATCAACCCGCTAATGGAGTAGGGGGCCCACGAGATTCGCTTTATCGCCGGTCAAGAGAAATACGTCACAAGACAAGCGGCCGCTGCCGTTGGGGTGCTCTTTGACTTCACGGAAACTGACAACCCAATCGACTTGTGTCCAAATTTCCAGCGTCGCGCAAACGCTCGGCTTCGTGCTCGTGTGGGAGCATATTTTCGAGATCATCCGGTAAGCCCTTATTGTGTACGAACTACTCTATATCATACTGTAGTTAACTTATTCTGTATTAACTGTTAGAGCATCAAGCGGCACCTCCACACATCGTGTTTCGCTGCTGTCGCTCCAAGTGGGTCGTCAATACACCCTTCCCCCTCGAAGTGGTCACCGAAATCCTAACTGAGCTTCTGGAAGAAACCAATGTTAGCCTACGCTTAGTAGCTATGTACGGTGAAGCGCACAGACAAATACAGGATTTTATCCGGGCTCAGCGTTTTCAGCTGCACCCTTAATGCAAGTGCTTCATCGTGAAACTGCTATGTACAAGGCTAGAAAGTGTTAGCCTAGTATTCAATTCATTTCAGTAAAAGACGATATTTTGCTAGTGATATTACTAGCTGAAGGCAGGGTGACGCATGGCCTGGTATGCCTATAACATGTCATTTCGTCAAATACCACACCGCATAAGTAAGTTCCACCTTGAATTTTGCCGCTGGGGCGGCTTGATCGCATCCACAGAGGCCGATATCCACATAAATTGCAACACACCAATGATAAGAAGCGTGGCGGATAAGGACATAGCGAAGTCCAGTTTCACCAGGTCCCTCCAGTTAACACAGTGCTTCCCAAATCTGAAGGTCTCCTTCCACGGTAGTAACTGCATCATCCCTAATTGTCTCAGGAAATACAATCATGTCATCAAGAATGGTGGCAGCCACGATGATGAGTCACAAAACTGCAGTAATGACGAGGGAGATTCATTAAAGTACACTCTGCCACGGAAATAAGATGCAACACCAATTCGCATTTGTTGCAAGCTTTTCCCTGAGACACGTTACCGCAATCCAATGTAGAAGTAGTAAATACCCGATCAACAGAGCTGCAAACATGTTGTCATGCTTGATCGCCTTTGCATTCCTCATCACGCCGGTTACGTTTCCCGGAGCGAAAGCGACTTCTTTTAGCAGCAGCAGTGGAGAGTTGGGATCTATTTTTCCAACGATCATGTCAAATTTGCGCACAACCCAGCGTGTTTCCTTCGGAAATTCGACGCACTTTGTTGCACAATCTACCCTTCCACCCCATTCTTCACTGCATGTGGAACACACGTAAGTAGTTTCTGCCTTTTTTTCCAGTCCCAAGCACAGAGAACACTTTGCACAGGAATTGGCGCAACTTCTATAGATTAGAATACCTCTCAGTAACTTGCTCCACTCTGTGGGGCGCGATCACCAGCGGCTTTGCCACCAGGGCTTCGGCAAGTAGATTACTCTCAAAGTGGACGCTTGTAGTCCTAGGAGTTCGTTATGGAGACGGCGCATGTACTTCGCGTGAGTAGTTGGTTTTTCTCCTTTTCGCTTCAGTATGATTTTGTGAACAATAAATCCGTTCGTTATGACCATATCCACTAAGCCAAGGAAAAGCTGCTTGTAGTACTTCCTCAACGCCACCGACTTTTGAATAGAGTATATTTGCAGTCTGATCTGATCGTGCACGTCCACTTCCCCCCATTTCCGAAAGGTAGTCTGTCACAAGCGTGGGGCATGGGACCACAGATATACTGCCATTTTTCTCTGTACGGTGTACGGATGTCGGCCGTGTTCCACATCCGGTTGCAAGCATATTTACCGGCCGAGAGTCCATCCATGACAGCGCCACTAGTTCTGGATGACTTGTGCATTGGGCGATGCGGTATGATCCTCGTGCAATGTGCATCGGTCGTTTCTTTTGCGAGTACTGGATAGACTTGCACCAGCCCAGTTTGTTTGTTCGCACCGTTCCAACGTGGTATAATCCAATGCTCAACAGCTTAAGTAACAGAGCGACCCAGGAATAATAGTTGTCGGTCATAACTAGTCGCTTCTCGTTTTGCCCACACAGCACTTTCGATAGATTTCGAACATGACGGACCAACATTCCCTTTAGCCACTTGCTCTTTGCCACAGTACGCTTCAACCCTACACAATAGCAATTCGAGAATGTCAATTACAAGTCGTTTCAAAAACAAACAACACAAACGGCTTCCTTGCCTCGCACAGTACGCCGTAATAGAACAGCATATCAGATATAATTTGATACCCCCAGTTCCTCGGTTTTTCCTTGTTGTAGATTCTTGGGGGGTTGTACTTGCTCTTGTTTGGTACCATATGTTAGAGACCGCAACGTCTTTTGAGACGATCTGAGAAGTTGAAGACTTCTTTTGAAACTTAGCTAGCAGAGTGATGGTAGAAATGCAGCGATTCCGCACTCGGCGGACATGCCTTCAGTCCGAAAGTTTCCTTTTGAGTAACAAGTTGTTTGTGAGTGCGTTTCGATCCGACTCCGACACCATACCTTCATCAAACGAGATAGTACGAGCGAGCCGGTACCCGCGGCGAAACGTTGTTTCGGATCTTCCTAGCCTTGTCGTGAAGAACGTCAGGGTTCCGTTGTCATTAAAATGAATAAACCGGATAATATCTTCGTATCGCGAGCGCTTCACGTAGCGGCCCCATGTGCCATGAGGTACAGATCCGTCCTCAGTAGTGGACCAGTGCTTTGCCACACCATCCCGCATCAGGCACAACGAGCTAGAGATTAACAGGCCAATCGCATGGACCAGCTCGTGGGACCGAACTGGAGCGCAGCGTCTGAGCCCTTCTTTAATATCGGCTGACGACGGGACGCTGACACTTGGGTCACGTTGCTGTGCTCAAAGCAATTTATTTCGTCTGTCTTCAGCCAGTGTGGGGATCAATTGCTCTCAATACCGATTTGTTTCAGTTGCGATCCTTATGCACAGTGCCTTCGGGAGAAAATAAAAATAATCCAAGCGGTGAATCTGCAATGCTGACCTTGTTGGTCCCCACGAGCCTGTGTAGTAGTCGCTAGGGGCATCCGAGCAGCAGTTGATCTACAAATTATGACAGAAGTACAGTTAGTTACCAAACAACAGAATCAGATGAAAATCATGTGATCACTTTCCTGAATGATCCTCATCAAAAAGCTTCCAACCACCACTCGCAATGCTGCAAAGTGTATTGTCTGGAACATCGAATGATACATCCACGTCACCATCTTCGCTGTCACTCGAATCCACCTCGTTGACGTAACACATTGGTTCTGGTAATTCCATTTCGTCATCCGATTCGTCGTTCGATGCTTCCTCCGATCCGTAACCACAAGCGAGATCTTCTGGGGACAGATTTATGTCATCATCACTGACAGGAGGGAAAGCTCGATAGTTCGCATCGCGTTCAAAACGGTTTCAGCTTCGAATGCAGTGACCGCATCGGCTACAGCACCATCAGGTTCGCTGGCCTCACGTCTTGGTGCAGCTGGCTGCGTGTCAGTCTATTCTGTACTAATCACTGAACTTGCAGATGCCTCGGCGCTATTCAAGTGTGCCATCACCTCGCCCTCCCCTGTACACAAGTTCTTCATCAGTCACGAATAGTTATATGTGCGAAGCTGTACACACTAGTTACATACCTTCAGAATAATCGATGCCGTGAGTAAGATGAGATAGTCGTCCACCTTTTCCAGGCACCAAAAAGTTGGTGTTGTGTTTGCAAGGAATTGGCTTTCGTTTCTTCCATCCATGTCGAGACAACTGCCTCCATTCTCCCTTACGGAGCCCAGAACATCTTATTGCAGGTGACAGCACGGTCGCCGGCGGTGTTACCCTCTCCGCCAGCTCGGATTCTGGTACCTTCGTGCTGTGCTGCGTACTTACTGGCGACGGATCCTCTACGGCTACTGTTATGGCCAGTAAGACCCGGTCTCTGCTAGACCGCGCAACCCTTGTGCGCCTTGCCAACCGATCATTACATTCGACAACTGGCGATCCGGTGGTTGGTACTGTTGGCACCGATATGGCCGTGACAGCAGGTCTTGTCGTCGCCGTGACCGTGGCTGTGCTGGCCGTCAACGAACCGATGATCGTACTAGCCGGTTCTACCGTGCTTACTGTAGGCGTTGCTGTCACCGTAATGACCTAGGCGGCTAATCCTGCCGTCGCCGCTGATGTGGCCGGGTTTATTGTTGGCGCTGCAATTGCCGTCATGCCTGTGCCAACCGGCCCCGTTATAGCTTTTACTGTCGCCTTGCTGGCCGTCGGCGAGCCGGTGGCCGTACTAGCCAATCCTGTCGACACATACTACCTGTAGTTGCTGCAGTAACCGCAAGTCCTGCCGTCACCTCTACTGTGGCTGATTTCACTGTCAGCGCAGCAGTCGCAGTCATGCCAGTGCCAACCGGTCCCGTAATCGTCTTTGCCGCCTTGCTGGCCGTCGGCGAACTTGTGGCCGCACTAGCCAGACTTGCCGTAACTGCACCAGTGGCCGTGCTAGCTGTAGTCTCTGCAGTTACCGGACCTGTTAGAACCAAAGCCGTGTCCGCGCTGCCTGTCGTTGCCAGTGTCGGGGACATGGCCTCTGCTGCGACAGTATAACTCGTCTTCCTTGATGGCACGTCTAGTTCACTCCGTTTCGTCAGGTGGTAAGTATTCTTCCATCTTTTTTAATATCTACTACAGTACTGAATTTCAGTAAACTACTTTTTGTGTAGAATAAACCGTTTTCAGTGCTCTCTAAAACACAACAAAAAGAAGTAGAAGATGTATTGTTTGCCGTATCGGTACGTAAATGGCCCAGGTTAATTAAATTCATTTTCATTTTTACTAGCCAAATAGATGCCGTCCATGACACCAGTCGCCTTACCGGACGAGTGCACGACGTAGTACACTTTGGTGTCTATAAGGCTTCATGTCTTCGAGAGAGGGTTGGCAGGCGAACCACGGTGGCCTTGTAAGAAGTATGTTTGAAGATCTTTTACTTGTTGCGTTCAGCGGCATCCTTCAGCGTCTTTTCCGAGTAACATTGAACTCGCCACCGCTGCCGTTTCCGTATTAGATTTGGGACGCATCGATCGACAGCACGATCTGTGTAACGTCGGCAAAAGTCAGCAGCCCATCACCATTCACGCCGCCGACCGGAATACATCTAAGAGGTGGCACTCCCGTCGCATTTGTTCGAGTTTCCACTCGGCTTTCACCAACCGGAGCAACTGATGAATATTCAATACTGGTTCCCCAGTCGCTGGTTTCACTGGTGTTATAGTTGGTGGCAATACTGCAGTTGATATGCCCTGAGATGCAATCTCAGCCAAGTTTTCATACAGCGCAACTACGTTTGGCTTGCGCATATCTTGAAAGCAGATTTGCGCGATCTCTTGCGCCGGACCGACCGAAATCATCCAATTCGTTTTGTCTGGAACGCCGAGTCGAACAAAACGCGACCTCTTTTAGGCGCCAGGAGGCATTTTCTGAGTCTGAAATTTGCCACAGCTCGACATAACGTCATTCGCAGACGATGGGGTTGCTGGGTGGCCCGCCATTGTCAGGGTTCCAACCAAGGCTTCTGAGATGAGGCACTCGAGGAATTCCAATTAGTTCCTGAGCCCACCTCATCAAAGCCGAATCGAACAAAGTACTCGACTCGCAGATGCTGATCACGATAAGTCTTCATGAGGCACGAGAAAGCCAGCAGATGCATGGCCGCGATGCCTGGCAGCCCGTAGCTGTGTAGGAAAGACTGATATACGATTTGAGAGATCGATAGAATCCTCCCACTACTTCGTACTTCGTGGCGTAACGTAGGGCAGTCGTTGCTGCTGAGCCTTGCGTCGATTTGAAGTGAGCAGTTCACTGTAGGCATCTGCAATGATTTTAAGCACGTTTGCAATGTGACTTCTCCGCGAGCTGAATAAGCTGGTCTGTACTCGTTCGCCACGACGGATGAGCCCGGAGATGGCACGAGGCATAGCCACACTGCTAATCTTATGGTATCTCTCCTTCTTGTTCTTAGCCCCTCCAGCACCGCTGGTACCCATTGCGTGCTTACCAAGTAGTGCATTCAGCGTTAGTGGGGCTATTTGAGCCGGTGGTGAACGGCGAAAGAGAACTTTCACGGCGAACTGAAGCTGTGTCGTGAGAAACTTCCAACGGTTCGACTACATCAGGCGCTTCCAGTTCAAGCTCGAAGCCGCGCTGTCCGTCGTCAAGGACATGACCGCTGCGGCGACCATATCACTTGTATCCCTCGATGGCGACTTATGTTTCTGTCACCAGTCCCCAGCCAATAAACCTCCGGCTTTGTGAAGTCGAGGTTCCAGGCATCCTTCAATACTGACGGGTTTTGAGGTTCCATGATGGAAGAGTTAAATTTTGGGCTCATAACCTATTGGAATGTAGTAGGTAGCTGGATTGTTTTCAAGTAAGCTTTGGTGGTTCGGGGCTACGCCTCTTCATCCTCTGGTGCGATCAGATCCTGAAACAGCCTAAATAGTACCTATTTCAACTATAATAGCCCTCAGATACTCTGACCTATATATATCTTAATAGCTAGAGCCCTGGCTTATGAAAGGGGGCATTTTGCGACCTTCCATCTCTTAACAACTTGATTTGTAGAGTATTAAAATATTGGTGAATTTTCCGCGTTCACGACAGGGTTAAGATTGTGAACTTTTCCCGTACACCGCTGACCAACGTGTTGGATCCCGTCGGCAGCGATACGCCTGCTTATAGGCGAAATAGCAGCCAGTAACCCGCCAAACGCCTTCATATCTCTCATACTTGGGCTTAATTTGCATGTTCCGTGTTAAAGCAGCTTCACCATCCCCGCCCTAAAATCACTGGAGATGAGGCAACCATTAACCCTTTCGATACCATATTCTGAATGATACAGAATACAATTTGCCCGATTTGGTCAGGACTTATCATCCCGGATTTTGATAATAGCAAGCTATTTCGCATATGAGGTTTTATAACGAATGTCGTTACAGCAACCTAAAGAAACCTGATTTACGACAACACGACAGAAAATGTGGCAACCTTAGGGCTTATCGCAACCTCTTTCCCGGTAATCTATTATAAATTACGAGTGCCACGTGGCGTCCGTCACCAGACTTACTCTAAATTTAGAGATATCACAATCATGTGTGCCACATGCATATTTGTGCTCCACACAGATAAGCAGATGTCTGCTACACAGAATTCACACTTGTCAAAACTTCAGAGATCTTACACTACGATGGACCAGAAAACGCTGGCACGAGAGTTGGTGCGCGCGAGACTTGCAGAGCTTGTTAAGATGAAAGCCATGATTGAGAAGATGCACAG